TGAATGATTGGAAAAAATGCTCTAGGGAATTAAGCTTAAAAATTTACTTTAGCTATCCAGCTGTTGTATTTAATATCGGATTATTGAACACAACACATCAAAACAATAAAAAAACATATCCTGAGTTTTTCGTCGCACAGTTGTGAACCATAAGAGGTCACAGATCATGGCAAATGTGATTTTTTTCCTTCTTTCGAAACAGAATATTTTTTTTCTTCCGTATTTCCCTTCAGCGCCAAAAAAATTAACATAAATAAACCAACGAACCAGCTATTGAGCAGAGAGAGTATTTTCTTACAATCTATTATGCAGATGAAAAAAAAAAAATTAAAGACCGAAAGTGGGTGAATTTATCATTTTCCACGTCAATCGAAAAACGGTATAATCTTTTCCTCCGGAAAATAAAACCGCCAGCATTACAATTTTCTTAAATTTCAATTTTCAAACAGCCAGAAGAAATATCAATCCAGTTTTTCGCAAAATATATACTTCATTTCTCGAATCGGGGGACATGTTATATCAGTACCAGAAATTTGTGTACACAACTGGTCTTCCTCTACACTTCGCACGAGGACTGCTCTACAAATAAACATAAGTTTTGATCTGACCAAGTCGTGCGATAACTTCTCACCCCAGGAAACGAGAGAAAAGTAGTACCTTGATCAATGGGGTGAAAAAAAAAAATGTTAAATTGGTACAATGCTAATTTCCATCGTACTCCTCGTTCAATACTTCGTACGTATCTTTCAAATTAACTTCTGGTTTTATCACCGTCGCAAATGTAATTGATGAAGTTTAAAGGCTTAATTCCTTTGTAAGCCTGTACACAGGAAGTTCATAAAAATATCTAGCTCGACGATGCTCGAGTTAAAAGGTGTGAAATCTCTAATCCCTGACGCGAGGGTAAAGAAAGCATTGGAAAAACTATGAGAAACTTACACTGTAATTTACGATATAATATCAGAAACTTACATGAAGTTTCTTCAGCAAAACAGCATCTGTAGCGCTTGTGGTCGGTTTCGCAGCCTTCCAGAATTGCTTCTGTGCGGAGTAGCGATTCGACGGACATATTTTGAACAAGCAGTCTGGAATTAAACACAATAAAGACGAGAATTATGGACGTGCTAGTTGTTTAGCTAATGCGTGTCGTGTCGCATTATAAACCTTCTTCATTGTTAGGCGTGTTTAACGGACGATCAAGTTGACCAGTTGTTTGCTTACCACGAAATTTCTTCGGCGGGTTATTCAGGTCGCCAGCGGACGGCTGCACAACACAGCGATCGTCGATAAGGCTGGAAATGGACAGCTAGATTTTTAAACAGGAAAAACAACACAAAAGAGCTAATAAACAGACTGATAGCATAATACACATCTTGGTCCTTTACCCGAGTGTGCTAATGAATCCATTGACGGTTCCCTCGGCGAAAAGAGAGACGATATCGCCGATATGTAGAAGGCTCGTCTGCTGGGTCATCGTTCAACGCAAACTTCGAATTTACGCGCGTCGAATCAGCGAACAATTTCAACATTGGATCCACAAAAATGCGGACGCAGAGCCGATAGTCATCTCGTTATTTTCATGGCTGTTTCCTTGCACTGCTCTACAAAGGAATCCACCGTAAAAATAAACAAAGTGAATATAAGCAAGTTGTATATAAAAGATGTTGCACTCCAAACTCGCTACCTCATTCAGAAAGTATACTGCGCTGTTTACAAAAAGACTGGGTTCTAGTTTGTAAAACACAACGCACCCAGGGGACCCCGTTGGGGTAACACTTGTTTTGTCTGCTTCGCTGGCAGTTAGATAGAAATTCATCTTTCCTCATTTTTGGTGCATTTTAACACGACTTTATGGCTCTTTACTATGCAACAAGAAATATCAAAGCCGTAGGAATGCCTTTGTCATCATTATGGAAGACAAAATCGTTCAGTTATTCTTCATTCAACGCCGACCTACAACTCAAGCTGAAATCAGACGCCCAGACAATCTTTCGGGCTTCACTGAGTGCTGTTTCTCCACAGGAAATGGTCAAAAATAACCTTTTGTTCCATCAAAATATCCTGTCTATCAAGGAAAGAGAATATGCCGTCAATAAAAATGTTTTTGTGGTTGCTTTTGGGAAAGCTGTGTTAGGAATGACCAAGGCAGTTGATGATATTCTCGGAGACCAGATTGTCCGGGGTGTGGCTAGTATTCCTGTGGGACTACCAGATGTCATAAAGGTACGTGTTGACTAAAGGCTGGTTTTCGTCAATGACGGAGGCCAAGTCGGAGAGGTAATCAGAAGCGCAGAGTGATACAAATTCTAGTAAAAATCAAACTAACCGACTGGGATGCAGAAGCGGAAGAGTAAATCAATCACAATGCTCTACTCTGGGTCTTGTGATTGGTTGATTCTTTCTGCTTCTGCAGTCCGAAGTAATGGAAACATTCTGATTCTTCTGACTCCGATTCTGTCAAGCTTATGCCTCCACTGTGACTCTGATTTTTCAAGTTTCACTACATGTGGGTTGTAAGCACTCTCACAAACTCAGGCTATCATAGACTATGACTCTGTCATTAGTGGAAACCAGCCTTAAGTGGACTGAGTGCATACAAATATCACTCACCAGTATGGCCACGCTAATTGTTAATGCCTTTTTCCAGCTTGTCCATTCTGTATGGGGTGTTCCTATTTTCATCCCTAGTAGTACCAAGCATGACTTTGAACTGCAACCTCTGCCAGTTCCAATTTGAAAGTCATGTTTGCTCATGTTCAAAATACTGTCACTACCCAAAAAGGTTGACCAAAATGGGTGTGTCTTTTTGTGAAGAAAATGGGAGTGTCTTGAGAAACAAAGCTAGTCTTCTACTTTGGGACATCACAACCCAAATAACGGCTGTGTAGACTAGTCCATGCAGGCTAAAATTAAACACTCAAAATAATTTAAAATCAACAACCAGCCCTAAAATAACAGATTGTGGGTTAGGGGGTCTTCCTTTTTATTTTGGCATTTTTTTATTATTTTTTTTTTATGAACTTAGAAGCACAATGACATTCTCTTGGATACTAGATTATAGTAATATTATATTATTGCTTATTTTAAACCATTTTGCCCTTCAATTAATGTTTATTCAAGTCACATAATTATATAACTGACTGCTGCACTGAGGCTACACTTTACGGGAAAACCAAAAACTGTGCAACACATACTAGAACTGGTAAACTATACTAACAGAAATAATTAACCCCTGAGTTTGGTACATTGTACTAATGCAGTCTATAAACCAAAATCTAAGGGCAGTTAGGTGGGAATGTAACCAAATAAATGTCTGCCTTAAGGTGACACACACCTATACCTTCAACCTGATACGACCTATACATTCAATTTCATAGTTGTAACGTTCAGGGTGGCCGCTTAATACGGTAAAAATAACAAAAAAAAACAAACAAACATGAGACTGCTACAGGGTGGCCACGGCCACTTAACAGAGGTGGCCCCATAATACAGGTAACAAATAGAGCATTTGTATGAGTGAAAAATCAGAACTTTGAAAATGGCTGCTTAATAGAGGATGGCCACTTAATACAGGGTTGTTAAAGGATTTTTGCTATGAGTGATGTGTGGAAATTCTCTCAAAATTGCATGAGTGAGGTTCAATTTGAAAGGATTTTCAAACTTCACAAGTCATGTAAATCCTAACTGCTCAGGCTTTCATATGATTATTTGTTATGTGACTGAGAAAATAACACAGACACCTGTATTAATTTATGCTGCAGTGCAATTGAAACGTAATGACAAATTGGCCCGTGCTTAGCTGATCACAATGAAATTAGTAATTTTCTCAGTTATGATAACCTGGGGGGACTCCCATGTGGAAAGGTCCAGGATGCCTGTGGTCTCTCTTAGGGGTGTAAATCAAGGATTCTGGTCTCACCTAGAGTGCTGATAAAGAAACACCACTATTTTTAGCTGTCAAAGTACACGAATCTTGAAAAAATATGTTCTTATTCCCGTTCTTAGGGCCAAGTTTTGCCAGTCCTTCGAGTATGGTTACTAGTACGGGCTCCTTTCCTGAGCAGCAGCTAGTAATGAAGCCTACTCTGTCTTAAGTGGTATCTTTTAGGAATCAAATACAACTCGAGCCACACCCAGATTGATCTCCTTTAGGGGTTTAATTCAAATTTTCCAGCGAGCATCCCTGACCTTTTCTTATGAGAGTCTTCCCCCCTCCCCCACCACTGGACATAATAATCAGGTAAACCTTGTGCCTCAACTCTAGAGAATTTGTGGTATCTTCTCTGTAATCCTGCTATATTTCAGGTATAAAAACATGTTACATTGGCATTATTATATGATTTTTTTTAACGATGCAGAGTTCTGGAAACAAAGAATTGATTGAAAAGTCAATTCTTCGTGAGGACAGCCCCATTGTAACCCTAGAAGGAGCGAAGAATAACCTTCCTGATGAAAAGGCTCTTCAAGCAGCTAGCAAGATAAAGGAGGTTGTCGAGAGTGTAGGCGAGAAAGACATTCTCCTTGTGCTTATTTCAGGTGGTGGCTCTGCTCTACTCCCATTTCCAGTCCCTGGAATCACACTTGAAGAAAAGCTTAAAACAATCAAAGCATTAGCTTCCAGTGGAGCCACCATTCATGAGCTAAACACCATTAGAAAGAACCTTTCTGATCTCAAAGGTGGAAAGCTTGCAAAGGCAGCATTTCCTGCTAAGGTTTGTGTTTTAACTTGCTTGTCAGGCTCTTTTTATTGCACTTCTTCATTTGACTCCTGTGTATTAATTTTGATCTATGATTGCATGTAATTGTCCAGAAAACTGAGGGGTGGCAATCCTCTACTGTCTATAAGAAGTTGTGTTGCTTCTTTTTCTGGGGTAGGATCTTAAATTTCTCTGGGAATTTGCACCTTTAGTGTTGATACTCACATCACACTTTCTCCAGCATATAATTTAGAAAAAAATTCACAGCAGTGTGAAGTTACTCACCAGCAGTACTGTTAGAGTAGAGGGTCTTATCTAAGAACATGCACAAACATTCTATTTGTCTATATACATGTATCATTTGCTGAGAGGATCTTCACAACCCTACCGTTTTTGTCATTATATGTGAAAGGCAAGTTTAAGCCTGTAAGTTTAAGTTGCCCATCAGGCCGGAGCGTATGGCAGTGTCTACACCATGAAATTACTAGGAATATTTCTACTCTCTGGGATGCTAGCCCATTACAGGGTTACCACCAGTGTTAAATTTGCCAGTACCCATTTATACACCCGGGTGGAGAGAGGTACTGTGAGAGTAAAGTGTCTTGCCCAAGAATACAATGCCCGTGTCCTAGGACTGCTCGATCCAGAGTGGACTGCACTAACCATGAGGCCACCACGCCTCACCTTTTTTTACCACGCTTTCACATTGTGAAAGGTGTGTGGTCAAATTGATTGTGTATCCTTCTACAGGTATCCTCTGGAGTACCTACTATCCTATTTTCAACTGTTGTCTGGTGGAGTGTTAGAAGCAAATTTCAAATAAGTTTTTAATTAGTATAAGTTCTGGTTTGTCTTGCAGGTGGTTACACTCATTCTCTCAGATGTAATTGGTGACCCTCTTGACATCATAGCCTCTGGTCCAACAGTTCCTGATCCATCAACACCAGCTGACTGTCTTGAAATATTAAAAAATCTCAATGCAGAGAAAAAGATCCCTGATGCCGTCATTCAGTATCTAAAACAGGCAGAAAGGAAAGCAGAAAATCAGGACAATGTTAAACTAGACGAGTTTCCACATGTTCAAAATGTCATTGTGGGAAGCAATCGCTTTGCAGTTGATGCGGCAGTGAAAAGAGCTAAGGATCTGGGCTATGCACCCATTGTTCTTTCAACGACATTAAGTGGTGAAGCCAGAGAAGTTGGCAAAATGTTCTCTGATGTTGGTCATCTTGCTTGGAATGGATGCTTGTCAAAAACATCACCTTCTAGTGACAGTGTACTAACTAGCAGCATTGTAAATGAGATATTGAGTGCACGCAAAGAGAAAAAGCCAGTTTGTGTTATTGGAGCAGGAGAAACTACTGTCACCCTCAAAGGGAAAGGTACTGGGGGACGCAACCAAGAAATGGCGCTTGCATTAGCTATTGATGTCAATCAAAACATAGAACGATATTCCACAGAGGAAAATCAAGGTGGTCTTGTCCTGTTAAGTGCAGGTACTGACGGACAAGATGGCCCCACTCCAGCTGCTGGTGCAATTGCAGATGCATACCAAGTGACTGAAGCTATAAAGGAAGGACTTAATCCTGAAGAATTCCTGGAAAATAATGATTCTTATTCATTTTATTCAAAATTTAAAAATGGAAGGGACCACGTCATGACTGGACTGACAGGAACCAATGTTATGGACATTCAGGTTTTACTTGTATCTCCTCCTTCATAACTTCATAAAATTTATTAATTAATACAAAATTTCCTGTAGGGTCATATGAAAATCATAAAATAACAGGTTGAAGAAAATGTAGATCTTTTAAATACATTAAGGTTTTCAAAATTTAGGTATACATTCAAAAAATAAAGAAAGCAATATTTTTAGAAGACTAAAAAGTGAAATCATACAGAAGACTGTCTTGTAAAATAAAATAAAATTTGAGTGCTCTCTTTTGGTTTAGCATTAGAACCAATTTATTTATATTATTTCACAATTCAGTAAGAAACCTTGTAGCACCACTGTAATGAATTCAAGAGGTCAAAATTGAGTTTTCTGGGGCGCTAATACTGGTGAGAAGTCTATACGTTTTGGGACTACTATCCCTTCATCAGTGGACTTTCACGAGTATCAGTGCTCCCAGTGTGAGTTACAAGGACAGAATATAGCAGGCCAAAAATCCAAGTAATCACATGCGTAGAGCAGTGCGTAGTGTTAAAACGAACTCGACAAGAACTTCTGACTACGCTGTAAACAGAGTTTAATTGACAGAGATCAATGTTCCATACAGACTCAAATGAAATGAATCACGTGCCAAGACGAAGGTAGAATTAAACCACGTGCTGTAAGCTTAGCGTAAGTCGTATGATGTAAACCGTATGCCGGTTCGAACTGAAATACAATAACGAAAATAGAAGCTTACGTAACTAACATACCGAAGTATAAAGATAAAATAACACAAATGAAGAAACTATTGCTAGCATTCTCAATATGTTTGAAAGTGACAATTACTTGATAACATCTACGGTAAAGTAAGTTCCTGCGACCAAAAAACGAATTAACATCACGTTTCAAAACCAACACCCAGAAACACTCGCTTTTAAACTGGTGGATTTAAATTGTTTTACCACGTGATTGAGCTTGAAGTAGCACTTAAGAAATCATTGGAAAGTTCTGCTTTTGTGCATTTATTTACCTATCCTGTCCCCAACTGGACTCTTGTGTCTCCATTACCCTGAATAATTGGAAAATGTAATCCTTGTAATCGTCTCCTGGCCAATATTACATGCCCTTCTCCATAACCAGCCAGTAGTTTCAGGCAGCTCAGAACTTAAAACATATGAAGTCTTTGGTTTATGTCTGTTGAAATCTACAAACAGAACTGTCAGCTCTCAAAAGTTGAAAGTCTGGAGGTAACCCAAAGAAACCTGGGCCAGGTTGTTCAAAGCCCAACTAAGCTAACCCAGAATTAGCAGGAATTTTGATTTCAGTTTTGTAACTTTTCGTTGAGGTTTCCTGTTTATATTGTTTGTCCTTCAGTTTTGAGTTTGAATAATCTCAAACTACACAAAACATAAGCACTGAAAACACATTTTCATACAAGAAAAATTAATTATAATACACCAGTTAACTCTTGATCCAGGGTTAGCATTGACTGGCTATCGAACAACCCGGCCCCTAGAGATTAAGCAAATTATACATGAAGTTGCCTTGAATCAAAATGCTCCAAGGTCACGATAGAATGTATGTTACTAGCAAACTAGACCTTGGCTGAACATTACAGTGGAACCCCGCCATACGACCACCCCGTTAATTAAGACCACTTTTTTTATGGCCCAAGCAAAAGCCCACACATTCTCCTATCTGAAAACCCCGTTACTGTGACTACCTTGATATTAGAACCAACGGCCACCTCTTGGAGTGCTAAGTCCTTATTTTCTTTATAAAATTACCCTGTTAACACGACTGGTCAAATTGACTGGTGAGGAAGCTGAATGAAGACGGATACAATCTGACAAATAACGGCTCTAACGGACACTTCACAAGAGGCCATATCCTGTTGAGAAACTGAAAGACGTCATTGTTTTTTCACATTACATGCACTCGGTTTTGTTCAGTTGAAATGAATTGCTGTTGTAAGGTTGAAGCATTTTACTTTTTTAATCATTTTCTCAACAGAAATACATACATATTCATGCATATAAAGCTGAGGGGGAAAGCCAAAAACAGGAACAAGTTCCCTTACAAATGGCCACCCAAACTACAGAAAAAGAAAAAAAAATTAAATATAAATATAATAGTAATAACAATAAAACCGGTAATAATAATAATAATAATAATAATAATAATAATAATA